GATGATGTGTTAAAAATTCCTGGTCTAAAAAAATCATTACTCTGCCAAAAACAGAGGGGCGTACGCCCCCCACGCCCCCCCCCTGGATCCGGCCCTGTTACGCCCAGGAAGCGTGACGAAGCCAAAAAAAAAAAAAAAAAAAAGATCACCAATGTGGTGTGTGTGTATGTGTGTGTGTACACCTGATTTTGGGGGCGTGCGTCAGTATAAACCAGTGTCACGAGGCCTTATCCCAAAGAGACAAAAATTAGGGAATAAATTTCAAAGCATCCAGTAAGTGATAGTGTCTGGCTTTGAGTGAGTAACGGCAGGGAAATAGACATACATAATCTTTCAGTCTCTTACGAGTGTCTCGCCGTTCCAATTCTCAGAGGAAGACAAACATATCAGTGACATCAATGTTGCTGCTCCAGATACTGCCGCGGTGAGAGTCACTGGTCTCTGGCGACCGCAGGGTGAAAGGCACTGAAGGCAATAATGCAATCAAGTTCCAAAGGTGAGAATTATTCAAGCAATGGATATGTCAATAACAGCTTTGACAATAATGGCAGTATATATACACATGGTTTCATAAAAAGTTGTCGGTGATGCTATGCACTGGCATCTGCGACTTTACATGTTTGTACTTCGCCTATTCTTGCCGACGGTGGCTGTGTCAGCAATATCGAACATGGTAATAATGGTGACGAAAATAATCATGATGAAAATAACAATACTGATAACAATAACAATATGAGCAATGGTGATAATACCAATAGCTAGCAACAATAATATAATAACAATTAGTAATAGCAATAGCTACAACAACAACAGCAATACTAGTAGTATTGATAATAATGTTAATAATAACAATAACAATAATAATGACAACTAAAACAAAAATAATGATAATAAAAACAATCAAACCAATAGAAATAGTTACAATAATACTGATAATGATGATGATAATAATAATAATAATGATAATAATAATAATAATAATAGTAATAATAATGATAATAATAATAATAAAACATAATGACAATGATAATCTTAACAATATAACAATAAAGATAACAATAATAATAATCATAATAATAACGATAGTAATTATAGTAATACTACTAATAATGACAATAGTGTTATTAAGGAAAGTAATAATAGCAATTATGATGATAATAATAATACTAATATTCATAAAAAATAATAAAGATAATAATAACAGTATGATGATGATGATAAGGGTGTAGTAGCAATAATAATAATAATAATAATAATAATAATAACAATAATAATAATAACAATAATAATAACAATAATAATCGTAATAATAATAGTAATAATAATAATAACAGTACTACTACTACTAATAGTAATGATTATCATTATTATTATAATGATGATAGTGATAATATTAATAATAATAATGATAATAATGTTGATGTTGATGATGATGATGAGTAATTATAATAGTAATAATAACAATGACGATAATGTTGATGATGATGATGATGATGATGAGTAATTATAATAGTAATAATAATAATGACGATAATGATGATGATGATGATGATGATGAGTAATAATAATAGTAATGATAATTATAATAATAATAGTAATAATAATAATGATGGTAATAATAATAATAATAATAATAATAATAATAATAATAATAATAATAATAATAATTATGATAATAATAATAATAATAATAATAATAATAATAACAATAGTTCTAGTATTAACAATAATATTAATGATAATAATTATAATAAAAATAATAGCAACATCAGTAACGAAAAAATGATAAAAAAGACTATAATGATAAGAAAAATAGAATAATGATGATGATAAGAACAAGAAGAATAAGAACAACAATAATAATAATAGTAATCATAGTGATAATAATAATAAATGACAAAACCCTCTTCCGCGTAGATACTATGGTAGAAAAACCCACAATGCAAAAACAACATTCACTGAAAATGAGACTACAGTCATCTAATTTTCAATAAATCTAGTTCTCTACCAATAGTAATAATAATAATAATAATAATGATAATAACAACAATAACAATAACAATAATAAACAATAATAAACCTGTTAGCCTTTAGTCATTTGCTGTGACTCGCCTAACAGGAAGGAAAACGGCAATAAGACCAGCCAGTGCAGAAATGCTTAAAATCCCATAAGAATAATAACAATAATAATAACAATAATAATAATGATAATAATGATTATAATAATGTTACTACTAATGATAATGACAATAATAATAAAAATAACAATAATATCCACAATAATGATAATAATGATACTGACAGCAAAAACTTTCATAACAATAATGATAATAATAACGTTAATAATATGCTATGATATTAACAACAATAACTACAATAATAATAACAATAATGATAATGATAATAATAATAATTATGAATGTGACATCAATAATAATCATAACAATAATGATAATGAAGATAATACTTATAATAATGATAATAGTAATAACAATAAAAA